TATGTGTATATGTGTATGTATGTGTGTGTGTGTAAAAGCGAACCCATGTATTGAACACATATGTATGCGCGCGCGTGCATTACCTTAGGCTGGCGAGTTCGAGCTACGAGCACGTGTGCTGCCATCCGCCTCCATCTTGCGCTCGGCCACCGTCAATTGCGCGGCACTGTTCGGGATGAAGGTCAGTTCGTACATGTACGACACACGTACGACATTACATGGATATTTAGTAGTTCACTATTGCGCAGTGATGTGCATATGCTGTGAGCACGTCATAGTGGGAGAGAGCGGGGTGGGGTAACGGCTGCAGTAAAATTGCCGTAAAGGCCAAGCTGACTGACATGAGTGAAAAAATATTGTGAAGATATATATCTTGGCTTTAAATTCCTGAAAAGAAAAGGGTGACTTCGCAACTTGTTCAATCGTGCAATAAATGAGGCGCGCGCTGTCCGGAGCAATTAATATATATAACCCAAATCGCAGTTCCACAAAAACGCTAGAGCCTGAACGAACGAGCCTCTCCTCCCCCAGAAACCCAAATCGCCGTAATAGCTCCGAAAGTAAATAAAAATTTCCTCCCAAATGTTTGAGGGATTTCAGGAACAGTAATATAATATCCGCATATATGCGCATGTGCACATGCTCATGCGTGCGGTGCCCTGCCGCCGCCGTGTCACGCCTCAGAAACTGAGCCGACCTTCTGCTGCTGCGGCCCGGGCTGGATCCGTTGGCTGACGTGGCGGTGTTGGCGGCTCCGGGGGGCGGTGCGGTGGCGGCGGTGTTCAAGGACGGACTACTGGCCAAGGCGCCGCTGCCGCCACGGTCGCACCCGCGTGGTTGGGATTGGGGGGAGATGAACCAGCGCCTGTTCTCCACTGCTACGGGCTTGTGAGAAAGGAGGGGCCTGGATGCACCTGGGTGCAGTGTATTTTATTTTTATTGGCGCCCTTGCGAAATAATGTGACTGGCTGGGGCCGGTGGCGTTTGGATGGTATATGTGTGCGCTGGACTTTGGGATTATGTTTTGTCCTCAGTAGTTTTTTTTTCTTTCGTGCTTCTGTGTGGGAGTAGAATCACGTCCTGTTGCTTTTTCTGTGTTGGATAATGTGCGAGAGGGATATGAACTTTCTCGAAGGTTCCTTTTGGCTGTAGATTCAAATAGGTGTCGGCCGAGCGAGGAGTCGGTGAAATGCTTTTCTTCACTGAAGGCTTTGTACTTACGTTCTTGCGTGCACCGATTAACATAGCAACAAGTAGTGGCATTCTGGTGCTCATTATGGTGATAGAACGCTGTGCTCAAGGCGTTATAAGTAATAACAACATGTCAAGCGCTACAGCTCCGGTGGTCCGCCTGCAGCAGGCAGATGCGATTGTTACAGTGGACCCCGAACGGGTCGAGTGCAGCGCCCATAGGAGCGCCTCCCGCACAACACTGTGGGCCTTATTCAAAAAGAACTCGGCCAGGCCGTACTAACTTCACTGGACACACGGCCTCAGTTAGTACGCTTAAACAGAAAGCCACGCTCATTCTTGCTCGGGTGGTGCTATCAACCAGGGGAAGACCGCGTCCCTCAAGTGCCGGCCTGCAAGATACAAGATCAATGATTTTAAGTAGGCAACGTTTCAAAGCCAAGCCAAGTTGGGCCCACCATACCAAGCCCAAGCTTGTAAACCAACATACCTGTCCTCAATCTCCTTCTTCAAACTTCAGCGCATGTTGCAGACCCGCATGCAGCTGCCGAGCCAGGCCCTCCTCCTTTTTCCGATGGCGATCGCGCACCTACATAAAGAGGACACCGCTACTTTCCATCCATGCAAAAACACTATTCATGCTGTAATCACCCAGATTTAAACTCACCAGCCCGTTGATGAAGTCCTGGCGTGCAGCTGGGGACATATACGCCGTGATGTACCAGTGTCTCCGATTGTCTGCCCAAAGGTGCTCGATTAGGTCCCCGAATGTGAGCCCCAGTCCAGGCATGTAGCGTGAGTTGCAGCGGACATTGCACTCAGGCTTGTGTGGTCGGATGTGCCATGGTCCGATGGCGAAGGGCAGACCAGCAGGCAAGTCCAGCTCCTCATAGATCCTGTGGAAAACAAGGCAACAGATATTCAGCTTCTTCGCAGGGGAAAAGCTTAACTCAAGTTAAAATCTGAAAGGGACTAAACTCCCAAACCCTGACCAACCCCAGGGATGGATATAAAATGGAGACCTCAGCCTGTCAACTCAGGTTAACTTGAGCATGTGCACATTGTGTCCCCAGAAAGCTTACCTCTTGTAGTAGCCCTCAAACTTGCACGCGACATCCAGGAACACTGCCTTGACAGATGCCAGATCCATCCTCTGCTTCA